GATCTTAGTGATATATTTGTGTTAGCCATAATGAACTTGGATTCTGAGGAGAGTTTTCTTATCAGGGTAACAAGGTTCTTTCATTGAGATGTGTTTATGTAACAAGAATTGCTGGAAGAGAAATCAGGAACAGCATAAATATCCAAGCAGCAACGTTAACCAACTCGGGATTTACTGAAATCCACCAGGCTGCTCTTTAGCTGCAGTTGTACTCAAGTATGAATCTGCTGTGAGACTTTGGATCTAGTATGTCAATATGTTACTCCTGATAATAAATGACTTCATGGACTCACTTGGAAAAAAAATATTGTTCAAAGATGGAATAAAGTAGTGGTGCATCAGACGTCTTACCCCTCTTAGTTATTATGCCAACAGCAGGGTAACAAATAAATACTGCTGTTGGTGAGCATTAAGTTTGCTCATTATAAATGCACAGTCATGTACCATTCTCCAGAGTGATTTCATCTGGGAACACTGCCATAAGGATTACAAATGGCTTTCAGCCTGAAAATTAGTGTGTATTGCTTTAAACTTCCAGTGGGGAGTTGGCAATTTATCCTTCAGATAATTATCTTGTGTTAAGTTGAACATCTTACTGTAACTTTCTGCTACATGGTAAACCAGCTCCTATGAATAATTTACTGCAACTGGCAACTCAGTGCAGCTCTGAGTTCTTTATCAACTCTGGTGGCTTCTACAAGTTTAATAATAAACCTGGAGCCAAAAATCTCATTGCACTTAAAGTCAGTGGAATTTCAGTGTTAATTGCAGTGGGACTAATGATTTGACCTTGTAGGGCAAAATTCTCATGAACAAAAATTCTACATCGTTGTGAGGCCAAAACGATGTATTTGTGTCCAAATAAGGAAAGAATTCCTTATTTGGACACCTTCCTTGTATTCTAAGGCATCATGTTGGTTTTTGTTTGGTTTTGTGCAAATTTTATATTGTATAGGTATTTGAAGTATTTTAATGTGCAAAAAAGTTTGCTGAATGAGCCTTCATTGCTTGCATGGCAGTTTTAGGATGTGTTCTGTATGGCAGTACTACATCAAAGCACCTATGATGTGAGTATCCCACCAAAATTATTGTTCTAGCTCTAGAGGAAATTTGCAATGGAAATCCAGCTGGCCTTTTTCTAGAAAGGACAGCAACAACTGCCAGTTTGCAAAGTCCTGACTGACTGGCTGATCCGTACCATTGAGGTCTGTCCCAAGCTTTTAGCCTGCTCCGTCTGGCTCAGCTGAGCCTCACTGCCTTCATGAGGGAACTACAGTATGAATTGGGGATGTGTGCTTCATATGGTTCCCCCAGTATAAACAAAAGTAGCCAAATCTACCCAGATGAGCTCCAACACGAGGGAAGACGTATGTATCTGCTAGATGCATGTGCTAGATTCAGTATGCATTATCTCAGCTATAACTTTTGTAAATCACAAACTATTTTTTTTTTTCTGATTTTGAGCATTCTTATGCAGATCTCTTTTTGCTATGCCTACTTTATGCTTCTGGCACTAGCATGGATGTGCACTTGTGTTCCCCAGTGAGCAGTAACTTAGCGGAGGGTGAATTTTTTGGCAGTTAGGTGGCTGGCTATACAAGTGAAATTTCAAGATTACAGCTGAAAGCAGAGTTTGTCTAGGAGGTGATTAAGCGGAATAGAAAGGCAAAAGCACCCTTTATTCCGAACATAATAATTAAGAATTAGGGAAGGCTGTGACTCCAGGCGTGAACTCTCCTTTTCCCCTTCCATGCTGACTTGCTACATGAGATTGCATCAAAAGGGAGGGAGTCCTTGAATTCCCCAAAAATGAGCAAGGCTAGGCTTGGTCCAGTGGTAACTGAAGGGCGGTGTTGCTTCTCCTTTATTCTGGAGTTGGTCTGAGTCATAGCTGTGTATGCAACTTTTATTTTCATTACAATATTGTACTATGAATTTTCCTGATATTCAAGAAAATTCTATTTTCAGAAAAAGTGAGACTTAGAATAGTAAATAGAAAAAAAATGTAGAGCAGTCAGTTTGCCTGAAATGGAAGTGGGAAAAATATTTTGGACAGCAAATTTTCTCTAATATTTCACAGTCATTATGAAGATTTCTTGAGAATCCTAGGCTATGCAGCTGTTAACTACCACTCATTTGTGTTTTAATCTTTCAGCTGTCTTTTTAGAGTAAATAGCTGTCCTTTTTCTTTCTTTTTTTTTTTTAACAGAAAAAGCTGTTTAGAACAGATAACAAGCATGTTGCGACTAAACCTCACTCTTTCATCTTAGAAAGATCTCGAGAAACATTCTACTAGTACTATTAATGAGATAACAATCACAGTTTGTTTTATATTTCATCTTAATGTGAATAATCAGAGAGATTAGCAGGTAATAGAAACAGGAAATGAAGTAGTGACCTTAAATAGAACACTTCTAGGAAAATAAATTCAAGAAAATTAGTTAAGAAATAATTGTTCTGTTAATTGGAAGATGCAGCATTTAAGGCACAAGGAAATCTGCAAGCAAAGTTTCTCAGGAAAAAAAAAAAGTTATAAACAGTTTAAAAACACAAACAAACAAAAACGTGCACCAATTCTAACTGTCCAGGGGAAGATTAGTTATGAATGTGATCAGTCATGAAGCTGTTCTTTAAAAGCATAAAAAACAGAAACTTTGTGGCAGAGATGTATGTCAAGCTTTGAAGGCAAGGCAATTGCTTTTCAGATGCAGGTATTGCAAGCTTGCTTGCTGTGGACCTTTAGATTAGGAACACCAGATTTTTGTTTTTAACAAATTGTTTTGCATTACTTTGCAGCAGATTAGCTGCCTGCCCCTGGTGTCCAGAGGAAATTTCTTGGGGACACTGAATGCAGCTGGACCTGTAGAATGGTCAGGGAACACAGGTGGCAAGTGTCAGCCTCCAGAGCCAGCCTGTCAGCATGCAAACTGCGCTCATCCACCCTTGAGAAGCACCTGGCAAGACTATAGTTGCAGACATGCCTAAGGCTCAAGCTGTACATTGACTGACACTTTGCTAGTCACAAATCCTGTGAGTTTCTGACTGTAATATTGAATCCTTGCAATTTCACCTTTTCAAGAGGCAAGTGCCTTTTCTCCAACCTAACTGACTTCCTGAACAAAGGTGTTCCTTTCCCGTTGCCCAGGAGACACAGCAGTATATCAATAATATTGCAGTGAAAAAAAAAAAACAGATGGTGAAGTGCTGTGGGCTACAGCAGACTAATGAAATGTAAGGAGGCTCATTTTCTTACAGAAAAAGGGAGGTTGTTTTGTTTTTTGTTTGTTTGTTTGTTTTTTTTTACATCATCCGCTTTGGTACCAGTATCCAAACAGGGTTCTTTCTGTGGAAATTCAGCAGCTCTTCAGGGAATGTGTGTGTGCTGCTGGTGTGAAAATGTGTGGCTGTGTTTTGCTGAGACTGAGTCTCTTCTTCAGTGAAAGTATAAAGGAACTTGTATGCATGCTCTACATCAGCAGCTAGCCAGTGTCTTAACTTCAGCAGAACTAAGTACATTTTTGGCTACTGAGTTTCCAGTCATTTGAATAAAGACTACTGACGCATTTGTTGTTTTAGCAGAAACAAAGATTCAAGGTCTGAGTCAAAATTTCAAAACTACCTTAATGCCTTAGCTAGTCCATATTCAACATTCAGTCATTTGGGCTTCCAAGAAAGTACTGGAGTGATTGTTCAAGAATTACTTTCCTAAATTCCTGCAAAATTTCAATCCTGTGTTGTGTTAGTTGATGGTGATGTTGCAATACTGTAGAGGAGATATGCTGGAAAAATGTGTTTTGCCTCTATCTTCTGAAGTGTTTTAAACAAAAGTGCTTCTAGTTGTCCATTATGTGCTAAAGTATACTGCAGAACAGCTAGCATATTTATTGATACTTGTTAAAAACATCCTCTTGAAGAAACTACTGCTGTGGGTAGTCATCCATTCTTTACAGTAACTTATTTAAATATCACAAGTACAAACTTCTTATAGGGTTACGTAGAAGATGATAAAACGTAAACCTGGTTTTAACATGTAAGACATTATTTTGCCTGCAGGTCACTTTAAAAGATGATCAATAAACTGTTGCATGTGCATACTTAACAAGTGTTAACAATAAGATGTTATCACGGGGACTCTTTTTCTGGGGCTTGGGTAAAGGAGCCAGGGACTGTCCATAGGTTTTTCAGAAAAGTTGTCTGGCCATGAGCAAACCAAACCAGTAGCTCACTGTTCATTAGCAGTTGAAGCAACACTCGTATAGGGTATGTGTTTTTAAAGTAAGACTGCTATTAAATAAAACATTGTAGTGAAATCATCAGGTTGTACATTATGAGTTCAATTCTGAAATAAGATGTGATATCATTGGATGAGATTCTATAATATACAGAATATCCATAATAATAGAGTAATAGTCATATTATTGGATAAGCAAAGCAGCATCCTGAAAGAGACGGACTGGCCATCACAGTTTTCTTCAGCTGGAGCTTAGTTTTACATGCTGATTATGAACTGGTTATTGGCCAGTCCCGATAGCAGGCAAGGATACAAGATTTCAGATCTCTTTTTCTAAATTGTTCCACACCAAAAAGTGATGTTAGCAGGTAGGGTGAGCTCTCTAAAGGTGAGTGACAACCTGCTAATTATCTCTGTTAAGCATAATTCTATTTGACTCTTATTTCTGTACAGTTTTGCCAGTAGACAGAATAAGGGAGTTCCTCCAACCAGAGCCATTGTTTTGCTTCTGCCCAGAAGGGTGCTCAGACTGAACCAGACTGAGTAGGGGACTGATTTCTGTTAATCAGCAAACATCAACTTGTAGGTAACAATTAATTTAGACCAACTTTTAAAATGTTATGTTACTTCCTGCATAAACAGAAATAATTTAAAAGCCACCATGGGGTCAGCCTACTGCTATTCAGCACATTTATATTTGCCATTTGCTTTTTGGTATAAAGGGCTTCTGCCTAGAGGCCACAAATCTTGTTTGTGCTTCCTGTTGCAGAATGTTTATTACACAAGCAATCAGCAGCTCCATGTGGGTGTTCTGAGTCCCACTATTGACGATGATGACAACAGATGCCTGGTGGATGTGAACAGCAGGCCCAGGCTCATTGAATGCAATTATGCCAAAGCCAAGAGAATGAAGCTTTACTGGCAGTTTACTCAGGTAAGTCTTACTCATTTCAATGAAGGTTCAAAAAAAAGCTCTGTTTCTATATCTGAAGTGTGAGTAAGTGTTTAATAACAGGACAGAACCAGATTTATCCTTTTTTTTTTTTTTTTTTTTTTTGCACAGTTCCAGTAAGCTATGTTTACATTTGATCCCAATGTCAGCTATCTCAGAAGGTTATAAAACTTTTATTATATTCTTATATTCTTACAAGTTCAAAATAGATGATTTACTATTTACTAACAGGCTGCTAAGACAAAGTTACTGTTACAGAATGATCCTTAGTAGAGTCAAATGCAAACTAACCTACTTAGGAACAAGAAAAGTGAAACTTTTTTTTTCATGTAAGTAGCAGCTCAGAAAAGTGGTTATTGGTTCATGGATGATAACATCCTCATAATGAGCTAGTTTTGCAATTCCTTACTTAAAAAGGTTACTGCATTTTTTTTGGCCTGATATAAGAAGTGCAAGTAAACACTTAGAAGTAATTTCACAGCGATGAGAATGCTGATAAGACATTGAATCCAGTCTTGGTGTCCACACTTCATAAATGATTTAAAAATACAAGGGTGAACTGCAAAAAAGCCACAGAAGTTCTGAGGCTAGAACACATTTCATGATATAATGCTTACAGAGAGCATGCTACTCAATCTAGCTAAGAGGATGTGGTAGGGTGAGTCAGAAACATATCAGCATTTCCACAAAGGGAGACAGGTTATCCTGAAGACAAAACAGGTTCCAGAGGTTAGAAGCTGAAGATAGTCAAATTTCTTCTTTCAAAAGAAGATGAGGTTTTGAGGTTTTTCCAAAGGTAAAAACTAAGATATTTAGCATATCAGGTACTGACACATCTATATCTTAGGACAAATAAAATGAGATTACAATGCATTCTAAACAAGTACCTCATTTAGCTTCTGGGGAAGATTTAATAGCTTGTGTGAGTTTGAATGGTCCCAGTTGCTCCTCTGCAGTTTTGAGTATATGAAGTACACTTAGTTGGGTACTCCATTTCCATGAAATACAGTGCAGCTAGCCTTTCTTACTGAAAACCTACATTAGTGGTATATATGCCCATGAGCTGAGGCTCAGCCTTATGGGGATTTTTATCCCTGTGTTTAGTTTCTTCTATAATATCCACCAAGGGTTTGCAACTGTATTTTCTGGCCACTAGTAAGTTGTTTTGTTTTTGCTTTTTTCTTTGACTTCAACAGCCAAAGGTTAGTTAGTAAGGTATATTAAGACATTGGTAATGCAGTTTAACCTCTTCCTTAGTGCAGAGACCATTCAGACAGTGATCAGTAAAGCATACTATTAACATAATTTGTATTTATACTTGACTGTAATCCAGATCTTTGTCTTTAAATGGGAGCTCTAAAGCAGCAGACTTCAACTACCTAATTGGGAAGGACATTCCAGCTTTTACTTTCAGTTCTTTAAGGGCAGAGTTTAATTAAGTCTTCTATCAAATTTTAACAATTATCTTGTCATGCAGTGTGGTTGTTTCATAATAGGTGCCACCTCTGCACCTGATTTTTTGTATCATTTCTAAAATGTAGAATTAATATATTAATGTATTTCTTTAAATAGCCTTTTGGTAACTTTTTATTACTGTCCACCTATTGCTGAATAGCAGTAACCAGTCCTTCAGTAGATAACCCAACCCTTTGGTGACAATTAATGATTTCTACTCCAGGAAATTGCTGCCATTTTGTCATACTTACTACTTTAGAGCTCATTTGGGGTTGCAGCAATAGAATGCAATAATTTAAGTAATTAAAAAAAAAACAACAAACACTTCTGAAATGGTATTTGACTACTTTAGGATTGTATTTCTAATATGGAATAGAGTGACAGAAAACAATCTCCCACAGAAGGTACAGCGCTGCTAGACTAAACCCTATAGATTGTGCTTAAGTCTTCTATTTAAAAAAAAAAATGCCCAGGAGAAGTGAAAGCTAATTAGTTGTTTCCTTATGATGAATTAAGAGACAAATGAAATAATTAAAAGTTTTATGTTCAAAAAGGATTTTATTAATATCCAGTGCAATCAAAATGTCGTTATTTCTCATCATACAGCACAGTACACAGCCTCTTGTGCATGCTGTAAGCTAGAAAAAAACTAATGAGAGTCTAAAGCTAATCAGGGCTTTCCAACATCAACCAATGAAGTCTGTTTGAAATGTTCTCATTTAGTGTGTGGGTAAGGCATGAGTTTCTGTGAATGAACTGGAAGCTGTCTATCTGAGAAAGGTCTTTTTTATTATGTTTGAAAGCTCTGGAATTTCTTTTCCATATTATGCAGTCAGCAGGACTACTGAAAATTAGCAGGACTGTAAGGATTGATGCTTATGTAGTCTTGAAGTTTGTGAAGTATTCAGATGTAGGTAAGTTTGGACCTGGTGCATAGGGACATGGTTTAGTGGGTGGCAGTGGTAGTATGTTGATAGTGGGACCAGATGATCCTAAAGGGCTTTTCCAACGTTAATGATTCTATGAAATGGCTATAGCTTTATAGGTGCTATAAATTCTTTTGACTGCAAGGATGCTTTGACTTCTGTAGATTCCTAGGTCAGACAGATATTCTATTAAGAATGACGCTATAGGTAAGGAAAAGGAAATGGGAAAATGACAAGACGTACAAGCCAGAGTAGGGTAAACCAACTCAACTAGATTTCCCTGATTTAAAAAAAAATAAATTAAAATTAAAAAAAAAAATTGCCCTGCTTTCCAAACATGTATCTTGTATCTTAATATTTGAATGAAGACACTTTCTCATTTCTCTGCAAAACATACTCTGTATTCTGAAGGACCATGATAGTCTATAATCTATAATGGGGCAGTGGACTTCAGAAAGCTGACAGAAGACTGCACAGGTTTTTGAAAGTGTATTTTTCAGATAGCTTTCTTCCTTCTCACTTGCGTTGTTTGAATGTAAAGATGATAAAAATCCTTAAGACAAAAGTAGAAAATTGGTGTCATCCTCACCTATTCTCCTTGAGTCTGTAGATGTATTACAGAATTATTGTCCAACTTCATTTACATCTTTGTATGACTAGAACTCCATGTATATATACATACATATACATAACATGATTTACTTCAGTGTTTTTTTGTTTTTGTTTTCTGTTATGTAGTTACCTTTAGTTGTAGGAAGCTCAAGTCACATATTCAGGAAATCCATGCTATTCTTTCAGGAAATGCTATCCTTTGGACAGAATGGCAGTTTGTCAGGTGTTAACAGGGAGGGAACCACCACCAGTACCTCAGAAGTTTTCATTGCATTTTGTGAGGGTTGACTAGATAGAGGCCTTGGGACACTTTGTGGTAGCTTTTCTGTACAGGACAAAATTGTATTGAGCATTCAAAGCTTGTGCTATGTTTGTATAATCAGGATCCGTCTGAGCAAATTTTCATGCTCCACAGCTTTATACAGCTGCCAAATGCAATGAGACCCAATAAAATGTAGGCTTCAGTGACATTTTTGCTTCCAAGGCTTTTTGGAAGCGTTTATAACTGTAGTTATGTCAAATTATGTAAATTAGCCCTGAACAGACTCCCATCAACTGGATAATGTTCAAGAATTTTGTTGTTGGGGTTATCTGTCAAGTCTTCTCTCCTAGGGATATGCTTATTTTGGGAATGCATTAATGCTGTAAAGGTGTTTGACAATTCACCTAGTTCACTATGTCTCTTTTTCTTTTAATCAGAACAAAACTAGATATTTTAGCAAAAAGGTAAGTGATCACAAGAAATGACACAAAGAAGAAGGGATAAGGACAAGAATTACATGGTAGCAAAGTGGTGAGAATTCTACTAAAACATTAATTTATACATGGTATGAAGAAACCTGCTCTGGCATCAAGAGCCATTAGGAAAGCAAAAAATAACAGTTGCCACTCTGTGCCTGTAATTTAGAACTTATTCCCCATGATAATTTTTAGATTTACTTACCATAGCTACTGCAGTTGTTCTGGGGTAAGACATACTTTGAAGGCCTTCATGTGATATAATACTGGCACTAAACAATTAATCCTGCTTGTAGCCTGTGAGATCTTTATGGCAAGGTGCAGGTGCACATGCAGTGTGCTGGCAGCAGCAGTCTGCTCCCCGCTGTAACCGAATGTTTGTGGGAAGTATCATGTCTGCAGCACTTGCCTATGACAGTTGCTGTTCACACATGCAGTAAATCTGCTGCCCTTGGCGCTGCTGCACTAATTGTCTTAACATAATCTGTTTTGTGACAGACAAGGTGCTCTGAGAGGTAGGTGATGGAGACTGCTGCCCCTGGACTTTAACCTCCTTGGGACATCTTTCAATGCAGCATATGGCCAAAACCATGCTCTTCTCAAGTGCCTATCTGATACTCTTAACTTTGTTTTGTGTGGTAAGAGAGTATATTTTAAATGCTGCAGTCAGTCAGTCATTTTTAAGAAGATCCTTAGTTTCCAGTCTTATTTTTCAGGTTTACTGCTGATAGAAAGGTAGTTGTGACATAATTGCTGCCCTTTGAGTGAAATTTATCTCTACATACATCACCTGGCTGACAGCAGTTCTATACGTAGGCGATTTAGAAAGTATGCTTATGGCACACTAGGGCCCCTCTGACAGCACAACAAAGGCGCAAGGAATAAGTTTTTCCACAGTTACTCTTTATCTTGTAGTGTCTTAATGAATTGCATGTTCATATCTAGTTGGATAGGGTTATGACTGTTTCTTACGCTTTTGACCAGGTTAGCTATGCTGTCATTACTAGTTGCTGTTGTGAGATACGTATCAGGTAAGGGTTCTGCAAAAAAAACCACAACTATGAGAAAGGACATGACGCAGAAGTAAAAACCTAAGAGGTGAATTGTTTTAAGGCTGTTCCATAGTGATTTTTTTTTTCAGTACAGCAGGCTCTGTTAATTTAATTTAGCTTCCAGTATGGTTGCCACAAAAACGTAAGCAGAGAATGTATCTATATGGAAGAGCACTCACCTTAGACCTCATCAGAGGGAGAACCTGTGCACAGCACTTGCTCAGCACTGTCTTGTATCTGTATCCACTAGGCTAGGAGTTGCACCTGCCTGGGATGCTAACACTGCTTTTCTGTGTTATGGAGAAGTGTAATGCTAGTCAGTGATGGAGGATTCATCCCATTTGGAAGTGTTCAGGGGCAGTAGTTTATGCTGTCTTGAGAAGCTGTAAATGAAATTTGTTGCTGACAACTGTGGTTACTGTATGTGTCATTTCCCAGATATCATAGTAGGAATTGCTTTGGAAGGTAAGTTGGAGACAGAAGGGAGCAAATGAATTTACTCAATTGTTATAACATTCCACAGATAAAGCATGGTCATTTGTATCATATTTAAATAGATAATAAAAAGATAATAGATATTATATAGCTTAAATAGATACTCTCTGTAGCTGTATAAAGAAGGAATGTACCTGAAAATTACTGAACGTGTTTACATTATGTTAATCCCACAGATTTTTGGCTTTTGCCAGGTAGCCATTCTGAATTATTCTCACTTCCCTTTATGTCACGAAATTTAAAGATGTGCAATACTATTGCTAGCTAGAACCATTACCCACAGTCATATCCCAGAATGCAGAATACAGATGGTGTGGCAGGATTAAACTGGAGTCTTGGGAACCCAGTAGAGATTCTCTGTACCACTTTCATATGCCCCTTGCTGAGTGCACATAGTGCAGAACCAGGGGTTAGCACCATTAAACAACAGACGGTTTCTTTGTAATGTCCACTCCCAATCCATACATTAGCCAAGGACATCTGTGTACAGCAAGTTAACTTCAGTAGAATCTGTGTCTAAGGGAACAATTATCCCTATGAACTTCTTCCATTTTTTCCATTATGAGAGCCATGGGATAGAAAAACAGCATCATTAATTTATCAAGAATTTGAATTTATTCTGAACCCCAAAGGACGCAAATATGCTCAGTTTGTATTTGCAGTATAAGACATGTTGTATTGCCATAGAGCTATACAATTACACAGTGCTATCTGCCCTGCAGATCAGAACAAAAAGTGACTGTGATCCTATTAAAAAAAAATAAAAATAGATTTTGATACTGCAGGAGAAACAAAGAAAAACAGAACCTAATTATTCAGTCAATTGAGCCAACAAACTATGTTAAACCCTGTATTTTTATTGAGGCTGTCTGATTTTAAATAACCACTGTTTTCAAGTGCTCAAATTTAAACCTCAGCCGCAGAAGAGCACTTCCATATGTCCAGTGCTGTGTTAGTTTATGGGACCAGTACATCAACTGCACTTTTTTTTCTACTCTTAGCTGCTCTTTGTCTGTCTTCAAATATTACCCTAGCTCACCTCCATGTAATACTTTACTTAATACTTAAACTGGGTAACATGAGAGCGTTACCATCTGTACAAGGTGTTACAGCTGAAGGACAAGGTACCTCTACTGTTGCGCTGTTTAGACATGAGAAAGTGGTATTAAATGTTTTTATGTTCTTTTTGCTTTAGCTCAAATTCATGTGCAACTTAACCAATATTATTTTCATACTAAATACTTCCTTTTAAAAACAAGTATATTAAAATATTTGTTTCTTAGACTGCTTGAACTATGTCTTGTTATAAGCCTACAAACTCTTTTAGTCCCATTTATGCAGAATGGATTTGGAAACATAAAAATCTGAAAGAATTCTCTATTTTGAGTACTTGACTTCAACTTAAAATACAAAAATGTATAAGCAAATAGTTCAAATACAGAAAAAAAAACTATACAAATATTACTATATAGTATTGCATTTGAATAATGGTGTTAAATTTGCTTGCAGTTATTGATGTAGTTAATGGCAACCCAAATGTTTTCTTGCATAAGTTTAGTCTTCTGTTTGGAGTAATTTTCCATTAGCAAGTTTTAGTCATTGCAAATCAGGTGCAGAACTTGCCAGCTAGAAGTTTTTGTGTGACTACAGCAGTAAAAGGAGCTTTTAGCGGGTGCATTTCAAGCCTTTTTCAGTATATTGTATTATGCAGTATTTACTCTCCTGAGGACTGCATTTAAACTCTAAAGACACTTTTGCTGAATTAATTTAAAAGGAAGTTAATGCATACCACGTTTTTCCTTGAAAATATATACCATATTTGCATATTTTAGCATATTAAGTTTTCAACACCACCTTCACTTACAAATAAATTACTTGTTCTAGTTCTACCCAATATTCCAAAATTTCTGATGTGCAGATAGGATTTCTCTAAAAATTGTCAAAGACAGCTGCTGCCAACAAGGTACGTAACATACATACAGAAGAATGGTCAGACCCATTGTGCTTTCTATAATTTAACGGATAACCAACACTTACCATATGAAGTGGCTGGATTTCAGGAGATCTGAGCTCTGATCTTGGTTCTTCCTTTGTTTTACTGAGCCAATCACTTCTTGGGTTCTGCTTTTGTCAGCTTTCAGATAGATGGATGAAGTTTTTTAACTTTAACATACATCTATTTTTCAAATTTCTCAGTTAGGAAGAAAAAAAAAAACTGACAGAACAAAAGAACCCCAACTCTGCCCTGATCAAATGAGTAGAAGTTGCATCTTTAATTCCAAAAGAAGCAAGAGAACTATGTACATAAACAATACTTGGTTACCAAATAACATCGTACAAGCCAATTAAAGATGAAAATATAGAAAATATTTTAGAAGAATTTTCACTTGGAAGACAATTAAATTAGGATGAAATGATGATGTATGTGACAAGAATATATTGCTTGTTACTTTGTGAGATGATCAGGCCATCAAGTCTGGTACCATGAATCTGACAGTGACAATACCTAAGATAACACACAAAATAGTTTATTTTCATTATTGTCTGAGTATACTGTGCAAGATCTGCACTGCAGCTGCAAGGAAATTCCTTTCCCAATATCAGTTCTTATCACCTTACAGCTTTCTGTGGGGACTAAGAAAAAAGCTATTTTCAATACCCAGGTATTGTGACCAGAGTTCCAAAGAGCCCAACCTAAACTTCCTTGTTAGAATACGTGCATCAATGGAAATACTAGTGAAAGTTTATTTCTTATTTTTCATCAGTTGGCACTCAATTTATTTCTTGGTTTCTAGCCATTGGTTTAATTGCAAGCATATAATGACAATGCAAATCACTCTGTTACTGGGTAAAAATGGGTTAGTAAGCCCTCATATTGAGCATTCAGATTACAAAACCTTGGTTAGTAAAAACACACCTCTTCCACCCCCCAAGAAAATAAAACATCATTCAGTATTTTTGTTTTCTAGAAGAGTTACATCTTATTAAGAATTACATCTCATAAAGCAATAGGAATGCACATTTGTTCTAGTTTAAAAACCCTAAAACACTGGCAATCTGTTAAAACGTCCAAGGATAATTATCTCCTCTTTCTTAGGAAAAAGATAAAAATCTTGGGGTTTCTAATAGTGTTGAAAGGAGTTTCTCATTAGGTTGAATATGAGTAGCTAGATATCTCCCTCTGCTAAGGTTGGCAGTAATAATGTGCACTTTTCATCTGGAAATTCATTTTTGGTATGCTACGTTAGAACAATATTTTCATTCATAAGGAGAAAAAGAGAAAGAACCAGGCTCTTACACATGACCTTCAGTTGCATGCTGTGAAAGGATTTTCATTAGCATTTCTCATACTGCATCTCATGCACACTCAAAAATGGGGAGGAAAGGGATGTTAACAAACGCTTTCCACAGATTAGCAATGGAGAAAGAACTTTAGAAAGCAACACGTACACAAGTGATGAATTCTTCAAAACCAATCAAAAAGGTAAGACGTAGGAATATGCAATTTGCCATATTGCATACTGTAAAAATAAGTAACTAGATTAATTACCTTGTCTAGTAGACTGCCTCCAACAGTGGTAAATGCTTGCTGTTTCACAAACTATTCAGTCGTCAGTTCACTGGAACACCATGAGGAGTCACTTCCTGACCCCTAATGCACTCCCTTTGTGAAGGCCAAGATGTATTTTGTCCAAATGATCAGCTCAGCATGCCTATAAAAATGTTCTTTCATCAGTATGCCCATTAAAAAAAAATCTTGTCAGTCATTGAACACCGACAATTAATTCAATAGATTTCCTGTACCTGGAGAAATCACAGCAGTTGTTGCATATTACTAACTCTAGCAATCAGTTTCCCTTATAAAAGCATTCATTTACCAGTTTCCCACAGGTATTCATACTTCCATCACATAAGTCAGATCTCACTATTTTTCGTTTACATACAGAATCCTATTTTTATTTCATTTTAGTATATTTTTAATTCCTTACCAGTCAGCAGCTGTCAATATGTGAATCATCTATCTCACCAGCATGCATTCCTGGAACTTACAGAGTTCAACTTTTATGACTGTTAGTTCTCAAAAGGTATCCAATTTATTGCTAAATGAATTTTAACTTGTTACACAGGACAGCAGCTGAATTCAGAAAAGTGATGCTCATCATTATCAACTGCATAGCATAAAGCTAGCTTTTCCTTTTTTCCACTCTTATTAGGTAATCCTAGCTATCAGAAGATCATCAATGCAAGTACAGCATCGTCTGGATTTGTTGTCAATATTTTCAGACAACATTTTCATCGACAAATTCTACATCTAGCTGTAATTGTAAGGCTTAGATATGGATGAAAGATTCTCATTTTAAATTCCTCATTTTTATTTTTTAAACAGGAACATATTGATTAATCAATGATAACCTATATTATCTGTTTCTGCCAATGTTTTTCCTGGAATGTCAGAAACATTTTCCCTCTACTACTGATACAAAAAGGATTCATTTTTACTTTCTGAAAAATCCCTAATGGTCTTTTCAGTCTGTATAATGTATTCTACTCCAACGTCTGCTTCAATTTTCTTGGTTTTATCACCATTTTCTGTAGTGAAATGCATTTTGAGTTATCATATCCTAAAGAGCTTCTTTGCATTTCAGTCAAGGTGTGGATGTATTTATCTGTGAGTTATTATTTTCTTAATCTTGTTATTAACAATGGATCTTTGTAATCTGGTGTGATGAAGCTAGATATATGCATGCAAAATATTACTGACAGGCTTAAATCCATACATTCTGTTTCTGATTTTTATGCTGTTATTCTGTAATTTGTTTTCCATTCCAATTACATTCTCTGTGAGACACTGTAAGACATTTCCTACTACCAGATTTAATTGCTCTTATTTAAATACTTTAATTAACAGGATTGTGCATTTCCACATTGTGTAGATTTAATACACATTTAAATAGCTGACCTAGAGTGTTTTATGTTCATGTAGCCTATCTAGATTAAGCAAAAACAATAAATGATTGCACAGACCATTGGTTACTAAAAACCAGTTTGGATGTGCAGATAAAGCTGCATCATTTGATGTGTTACAACCGCAGTAGTAAAGATTTATTACAGCAGTATGAAAATTTAGCATTTATGATTATATGAAATCTGAACAGCTAGAAGTCTCAGTAGTAAAATGTGACAAAATGTGATGTAAATTGATTAAATTGTTGTACCTGTTGAATGATGCATCTAATTCCATTGTCAGAGGATACTTCACAGTATTTACTCCTTGGGTACCAGTAAGTAGATCTAAGATCAGTGCTCGGATGGCTGCCTGAGTATGAGGAGAGGGGTACACACAGAGCCTGAGTGCTGGAGGAGGAGGAAAAAAATATTTTTCATTTAAAAATTGCTTGGACAATCCCTGTTACAACTCCACCTAAATTTATGAGATTATATGCAACAATAATTTTGATTAGGACTGAAAAAATAAATTCACATTTAAAAACAGTATCTGGTAAAGATTCTCATTTGCCTATTTGTAAATAGTGACATAAATAGCTGACAGACAATACCTTTGTAGTATGTAACATTTCTGTATACAGTATTTCATACACATAATAGCAGTTAAGCACACCTTATTTTCACAGTAGTCATGGCAAATGTAAATGAAACCAAGTCTCTTTGAAGAAGAGCAACAGCTAACAGTATTCTTTGCTAAGGAATTTTAATTTAAATAGTTAAAATTAATTTTGAAAGATCTGAACAAGAAACAGTATAGCATCTTATTAGAGCATTTGCTTTACTTACGGAGCACCTGCTGCCAAAGAATTGAAAAATTTGTCATACTGTTTTAGATTCAGAAGGAATTAAGCTTTACCATTATATTAGCATTATATATACACTTATACTCTATATGTAACTGTAAATAAGAATTTATAAGCTCACTGTCATCATCCAGTATTTCCATTAGATTGGCAATGCTGATAATACATCAAGTGCTGCATGGAATCGATTACTGACATTCTCCTATGACCTCTTTCTTACTTCAGCATGATCCATACTGAAGTGACCATAAAAAAGATGAATGACTTCTGAAGATCCAGCAGGTTTTTTTGAGGGGATTATATTTGGCACACAGTCACTGAAACTTTACCCCAATGTTCTGGGGAAACAAATGATAAGATGATGTGTTGTGAAGGTCTATTTTATATACACCTCATCACTGAATCATTCTTTGATTCAAATGTATCAAAGTAGTAGTAAAGATCACAGTTTCCACCTCAAAGGTAGAATGAACATGTAAATATCTGAGGATGCTGATTAAAGGTACAAGTAGAGAACTAGAGACTAATGAATACAATTATCTGTATGGAATATATGATACAAGACTGAATATACGTTGTAAATACCTATGCATGTACATGGACACACACATCCCTTATTAACTTTCTAACACTTTTTTTTTAGAAATAGACGTGGTTAGGCAAGCTGGTAAGAGCAGAGATATTTTTTTTTTTTTTTTTTAAGTACAATACTATGAGCTTTAATGTGATGAGCAAAAAAGAAATGGGTATAACCTTATAGTAAATTGTTAAAAAGAGCTATCAGTTCATTTTCAGGACTGCTGACAACCTGCAGCATTCATTTAATACCCTCATTTCTACAGGTAACAAAATCCTGAATAAGTTGCATGCCCAAGGGTATTTCTAGGCTATAGAACCCTGTTTCAGTTTAAAGCAACACCCTCACTTCCCTGTTTTCCCTGTCAATTTTTTTTTTCCTGAAAATTTGAAACCCAACACAGCAACTTGCAGCTTACAGAACCCATCACACCTACTTTAACAACCTGAGCAGCATAGGTCACGTCTGGCAGCTGGCAGCTGTGCCAAGTACAAACATTGACTGAATTGACAAAGTCAATTAGTTGCTGTGAATTACTTATTCCACTTTAATGATGCCACATATCCACATTCAGATACTTCCTTTAAAAATATTCAAACCATGACACAGGATCTCTGGCCTTTTCTGCCATGCGTTTTGCTGTTCATACCTCAAAGCGCAGCTTTGGCAAACTGACTTCAGAGAAACGGAAAATTATTTGGTCATGACGGTGGAGAATTCTTACTGAAACAATTTAGTAAATACAATGGTAAACTATTAAATACAGCCAGAAATCAGAACAATTTTACACTGATCAGTAAAAACGTCACCTGATTAAATGAGTCTGTTGTGTAGTATGAACAATAAATAAGCATAAGGGGAGCTTTTAGGCCAAATAACTAGGGTGAGCTATCAGTACTTTTTGACAAGGGATATGTTACAGAAATTTCCTAATGCAACCTTTTTTTGTTGGTGGTGGTGTTATAAAGTCAGAGAAGGGTTTCTCTGCTTTTGAAGGAAGTTTAAGGACTGTGACATGGTACATAGCCAATTCTGCAGTAGCTGTAGTATGATGGGGAAGGAGTTCCCAGTTAGATGGTACATGTACACTGTACAGATATTTCTAGTAAAGAAACTGCATTTAACATAACTAGTATTTGCAAAGCAAACTGTACTGATGTTCTGTCCCATTTGTAGCCCTCTGGATAGCAAGCCTGTTAGTGAAACTTTATGAAAGCTTTCAACTAAGCTTGGTTCTGCAAGGACCAACACTCCAGAGAGACCTGTCCCACCCTGCTGTTCTGCAGAACAAGTATGGGAAGGGGAAGGTTTGGGAATGCTGCATCCATGACCACACAAGAAACCAAAATAAAGAATAATTACTTTGTACGGGTTGTTATCACTCCAGTTGTAACCAAGAATATAAAAGCATATACTTGCAACATGATGCTCTTTCTAAAAGCATGTTAGTAGTTGCATAGTAGTACACGAGACTGCCTACCAAACATCCTTGTACTGCACAATGTTAGAGTTTGCAAGTACATCACAAGGCACTGTTAGATGCTGTAGTATTGGCTAAATTCTGCTTCAGTGAAAGACTTAAAAGGAAATCGCTTAGGTATGGCAGACCTGCAGAAAGTACAATAATTCTAAAGGAAATCAGAAGTATTACTGTGTGCCACTGTTCTGTGAGCCTGACTTACCACATATTCCAATAGCTATTGCCCAGAAAAAGATGGATGACTTGAAATAGCATATACAAGTACGCTTATAAACCACTAAATCATTTTTATAAAGTCTAATGGTACCAGGAGTTAAGAGCATTTGTACTTCTCAAATTGTTTCAACCTGCACCACAACACCCATCAAATTTTCAGTCAGACTTAGTAATGCTGTCACACTCAGTATGTTTTTATAAAATAGTTGACCTGAATTTATTTATTCACCTGAAACTTCTACTGCTTTTATGCTGTCCTTCATCATCAATGATGCTAATCCTAATTCCGTTCAACTGGGAAGAATTCCTCTGTAATTTGTTTCAGCCTATAGAATCATATGCTATGTATCATTGTAAAATACATTAACCTAGGCTACCAAATTTTTGCCTTTAAATTGGAAAATAGAAGTCTTAACTAGGATGGTAAGAGGGAACCAGACAGGCAGACAATTCACCTTTCATATTCAGTTAGCCTGAAGTGTAGTATTACAATAGACTGTTTTGCTGAGCAGTAAATACGACTGTCAAGTTTTACACGCATTTTATTAAAATAGCTATAAATGAAGAATTAAAGAACACCTTTATCTATGTATGGTTCTAGGATTCTAAATGCACACGATGCTGACAGACTGCAGAAACTATTCAGTGATGCTGTAATTTGGAGGCTAAGCCAGAGCTGCAAAATGTAGTATTAGCTTTCAGTGAGTATCGCATGTTACTTGCTTTGAAGTGGAGTTATTCCATTCTTGTGCTTTAATGACTTAAACAGCTAATTCAGGCCTTGCAACATATAGTGAGTGCACTGTCATCACCCTAGAAATAATAAAATAATACCACTACAACAGACTTGCATTAAGCATATGAAGGAAAAAAGGAACACAAGAAAATTAAATAATCTAACATGTTTGTATGTGCTATACAAACCCTTCTCCCTGTACTTCAGAGCAATACTTCCATTTATATGCTTACTGAAAGGAACCAAAGCTGTGTAGACTGCACCCTCTCTGTGGGATTAAGCCATGGTTCTTGCACAGACCTCACATCTCTCCTAAGCTGAGTTGTTCCACTTCTAACAGGACTGTAGCTTTTATGTTTCTCTTTCGTAAAAAAATAAAATAATCATCATCTTCCTAAAAGCACCTCTGCTGTCTCAAACGTTCAGCTCACACATATTAACCACTACTTAACTTTGGTGTCTCTTTTGTGTTCCATACAGAAGCCTTCAATGTACTCAGCAGAGTGATTTTCAGTAGGCACTACAGAGTGCTTTACAGTTTATCAAAAAGAGCTTTCTCTGCCTTTTTTTCTGTTCTAAGTCACTTGTTTCTGTTAAAAAGAAGCTGAATCAGGAAAAGGAAGGGGTGTCCTTGGGAGTGGTTTATACTCTCTTTCTGTAGCTGCCACTAGTACAGTATTTCACATGTATGCGTTCACTGTCATAGCAAGGTGTGCTCTCCGTGATTTAGAACAGAGGAAAAACCTCTGTCTCCACTGTGAGCATACTTCCTATCTCCTGAAATCCTCAACAGGTGTGGAAGGCATTTGGGCCTGTTCAAGTAACAGAAACCCTTGACCATTGAAACAAGTATGATTTAGCCAGAAGGACTGAAAGACATTTCAACTCAGCAAGGCATTATTTAAGACTTTGTGTTACAGTTTGCTCTAGGTAGCAGAGCAGTAATTAGGTGACCAAGTCCTACAAACAGTCCTTGGTGAGAAAAGAAATAGGTACCACAGAACAGGATTCACAAAATGCAGCCAACAAACTAAGCAGATGCCCCAGTCCAGCTGCTGAAGAGACAAATAACTCCACAGGCCAGACCTGAGCATTTACTAATCTCTCGTCATAAGCATAAAATTCTCAGAATTCACAGAGTTCATTTAACAGCATTTGGGCAGACAGGAGAAGCAAGAAGAGGTCTACCAAGGAACACTTGCATTTTAGCTGTCATGCTTTCCATAAAATGGAGAGAATGAATTCTGATCCTTCACTTAATGCAAATGAGTTAGAAAGGACAGGCAAGGTCTAGAAGTACCACACCTACATTCATATCTCAGATGCAAAAATGGGGCAAAGAAGGGCCTGAACTACACTCTCGCATAGCTGGTTAGTTTTCTGGGCCAACTTTTTTCTCTTGCTTTTTCTGTTCAAGATCTAAACTGAAGATGTCCTTGACACCAACACTGAAAAAAAATGCCTAATTGATACATGTAAATGCTCGAGACAGATACAGAACTAATCAAGTTCAATGACAGAAACACGAGCAACTCCAGCACCAGTTGGAAGCTCAAGAAGTTGATCTGAAAAAGTTTATTTTTGTCAAATAGAAAATATTCATTATGTTGAGTTTTGTATTCATAGGCCTTCATTCAAAGCTCACTGATTTTGTTTAAAAAAAAAACTCTCACC